AAGAATTTGTTGAAGAAGTTGAGAGAGGAGAAAATGATAATAATGGAATGTCGTCGTCGTCGTCGTCGTCGTCATTGTTGTTGATGTTGTTGTTGTTGTTGTTGTTATTGTTGTTGTTGTTGAAATTATCGAAATTATCGAAGGTTAATGAATCAATTGCATTAGCAATATTATTATTATTATTATCGTTATTGTCGATAATAGTAGCGGATGGTTTAGATTTTCCGGTTCCATTTTTATTTCCAAGTCGTTTAACGTTTTTATTAAGACGAGGTTTGCGGGATTTCTTTTTTTGCTCACAAGAGACAAAATTCCAACGTTTCTCTTTTATTAGGTTTGATTGATTTTGGATTCATTTCGTTGAGACGATTGAATGCTTCCTTTGAAAGTTTTTTATATTCATCTTTAACATATTGTGGCTCACTTTCCCAAGATTTGGAAACCATTGTTGAAATAACGGTCATTGGTAATTTGTAGCCATTGGCACATGCTGTATCCAGAAAAGCTTTACGATAAATGATAAAAGCGTTAGGAGATTTTGCAGGCAATTTACCATTAGTTAGTTTAATGATCAATTCACGAATGTCGATCACAGGTGGAAAGGGTGGCTTGATGAATGGATTACTGCCACAAGCAGAAATGGTTTGATTTACTTCCGGATTACTGGTGTCAATGAAAAAAACAGTCCTTTGATTGGAAGAATTGTTATTGTTGCTGGTGTCGTTTGAAGAATTGTTAAAGTAGTTCATTTTTGTTAAGTTTATTTGTTTGATAAAAGGTGTTTTGTTAATTCAATTGATTTTTGAATGGATTTTTCTAGACTGACGAATCTTTGATATTTATACTTTTAATTTTTCAGAGATAAACGAACCAAAGGATTTGCATATTTGTAAATAATATTTTTAGACAATTAAATCAGTCACACAAATTACCTTTTGAATAATCACCATTATTCAATTTAATTACTTTATAAAGAGTTCGCTGGTTTCTTTGAAATCAAAGGAGTTTCTAGCCACAAAATAATTATTAATCAATTATAAACAAACACACCGTAGTTCTTAAGTTATTAATAACTATCCCAATCATCATTCGTTGAATGTTGCATTAGCCACATAATTTTTTAAAGCCACTTTGATAAACAAATTACATTAGAGAAGCGAACAAAACATTCTATTAAAAGTTTTATTATTAATAAGCACAAATTCTAAGTTTATCAAAAATTTGTTGAATCAAATTCAATGCTAAGATTACTAAATTTCATCATCGTTAATTTCAATATCTTGAACAAAAACCAAAGTTTTCTTTTCAAAGAAAAAAAAAACTAAAATTTATTAATACAAATATAGTAATTCATACTTGTTAAATCAATTGCCAATAAATACTTTTTGTTCCAAAATATTCATGTACTTGAAAGTTTCCATGGATTTCTTTTTTTATTAAAAGCGTTTCTTGGAAAGAAACATATGTTTAATAATAATAATTGGATGAGAAAATAGGAAAAAAAAG